AGTTGGAAATTGTCCTCTAACGCCATGACAGAATGAAATCCGTATCGTCCAGGCGTCGCTCCTTGGCTCCATTTTGGCCAACCTGCTGCTCATTTTGGGCATGTGTTTTTTCCTTGGTGGCTTGCGCTTCCGAGAGCAGGTATGATCGCCGACTCTGCTAAATTGACGAAGGAACACTTAAACTCTTGGCAGATTTACAACAGCACCGTCACCCAGATGAGTGCTTGTCTGCTCAGTCTGAGTGTCATCAGTCTGGTCCTGCCCGTGCGTACTTCCTGTTTCTCACATCGACATGATCGCTGACAAATCGCGCTTAGACTGCCTTCCACGCTTCTTTCACGAACCTCAAGACTGCCGACGATCAGACGCTGAAGATCAGCCGTGGTACCAGTGTCGTACGTAGCCATACGCAACTTACGATGAACGCTGCTAACCAGAACAGATCCTCCTCTTGGTGTACATTGTCTACCTCTTGTTCCAGCTCAAGTCTCATGCCTACATGTATGAGTCTACTCCTCAGCATATTGTCGATGCTGAGGCTGCTCCTGGTCCTGCCGTCGGTTGGTTGGATACTTCCAGCTCTGAAAGCGATTCAGACTCCGACACCGACTCGGACAGCTCGGACAGTTCTGCCGGCACCGTCCGCCAGCGGATGAAGAAGGTCTTGCGTGGCGGCAGAAGACGCAAGTCCAGCGTGGCCTCCGTCGACATTGAGGGCCGCCCTCGCACTCGCAGCACCTCCGTTGGCACCCACAGCACTAAGGGCTCTCCCAGTCGCCCTCGTCTTCCCCGTTTCGGTTCAAGCGTTGGCAGTGAGGATGCCCTTGAGGATGAGAAGCCTCGCAAGCATCGCAAGCACCGCAGACGCCACCACAAGCACAAGAAGTCCAAGAAGAGGTCAAAGAACACCCTTGTCGATGTTGATGAGCCCGTCAGAAACGGTCCTGAGACGGCTTCCTTCCAGAATGGCGAACCTCGTCGCGTCGACTTCGCGCAGCAGGATGCGGCGCCCATTGAGGGACCTTCTCAGCCTTCCCAGGCCGAGAACGACCGCAGACCCCTGCCCGCCCTTCGCGGCCTGTCCATCAAGAACTTTACCCCTGCTGTCTTCACTCAGGGTCCCGGTTCTCCGGTCGTTGGTCCTGTTACTGGTGGCCCCGTCCCCCGCGTCCGTTTCGGTATCCGCCGCACCAACTCCCTGCCTGACCGCCTGAACCAATATGGCGCAAACCCTGGCGTCAGACCCCCTGGCGCCTTGTTCCCCGCTCAAATCCCCAGGAATGTCATTCACAGCAGCGACGGCACGGAGGAGAAGGTTATGCCCAATGACCACTTGTCCCGCACTGCCGCCATCCTCCTCCTCCTGTTCTCTACTGGTCTCGTCGCAGTCTGTGCCGAGTTCCTGGTCGACTCCATCAACGATGTCGTGGAGTCAAGTCCCTTGGGCGAGGTTTTCATCGGTCTCATCATTCTCCCTATCGTCGGTAATGCCGCAGAGCACGTCACTGCCATTACGGTTGCTATGAAGAACAAGATGGATTTGGCCATCGGTGTTGCCGTCGGTTCGTCCATTCAGATCGCCCTGTTCATCACCCCCATCGTCGTCATCATCGGCTGGGCTCTTGGCAGGGACATGTCGCTGTACTTCACCCTGTTCGAGACGGTCTGTCTCTTCGTCTCGGCCTTCATCGTCAACTTCCTCGTCCTCGACGGCAGGAGTAATTACCTCGAGGGAGCCCTCTTGTGTGCGACATACGTCATCATTGCTCTGGTGGCGTTCTTCTACCCTAACTCTGACGAGGTCAACGCTCTGGGTGCTTAAGTGTACGAGACGTTGTAGGATACGTGTCAGCGAGGCTGAGTTGTTGGTGAGGGCAGCTTATGACTTTCATGATGCTTTATGACTTTTTCTTCCTTTCTAGTCGTTGGATGTCGCTTGACGTCGATGGCTACGTTTTACCAAGGGGATGATGAGGATTGGGGTATTTCTTTCTTCACATGACCAAATTTGTAACAATTTAAGGCCATTCTTAGACGGCAGTAAATAGAGACGATACTGGACCGTCACTCATTGAGTGACGAGGACGGGTCGTCTAACGCCAATTATCAAACACTTTTATTCATCAATATTTTCGATTTGGCTGCTTCGTGATCGCGTGAGCACATGGTAGAGAATGCTGTTCGAAGTAGACATCCGAACGTCTTTTCAAACAGCACTGGATTAAGCATGTGGGTCTCTGACATGCCAAAGGCGCTAATGGTGAGGTGGTGTTTGGGTATTTAGAATGCTTCTCCCCCCCCAGCAGCAAGAGCAGCCTTCGTGCCTTCCCCTCATCACTTCACGTTCACCTTCACCATGGACCCACCACGCCTCCTGCCTTCCCAATGGTATATCTTTACTTGCATCTCAGGATCTGTCACCAGTTCAGCGAAAACGGCGTGACCTAGTTGGTAAAAGCACACGTTTAAACAAACTCTTCCCAAGGGTTTCTCTGGTAACCTAGGAGGGGCGCTAAGTTCGAATCTCGTCACGCGAGTAAAAAAGGGCCTTGAGGATGCGGACCTAGTAGTCCCATTTTTGTATTTTGCTCTTTCTCTATGTTTTCCCTTGCTTCGTTCGTTTTGTCAGTATGGGTTGGCCGTGCAAGGCTTTTCCGCGTGAGTATCACGACAAATTATTCGAGATATTGTCGGCCGGTGATATCACACCGATGCATCGAGATCTGGTGGCCCACCGGGTAAGCTTAAGTTTTAGCCGCAGCGCCCGACAGGACGCGCCCCCCACCCGACCACTGGAAGTTTGCGCCCGGCGGCGCCGTGGAAGGCAGGCGGCCTCCGCCAAATATCAGCAGTGGCTGAGCATTCTTTGTCCTAGCCTGAAAGGGTTGTGGTTCACCGTTTGCCTACCTTACCTGGTGTGATTGTTTGGAACCGTTTTCTGGTTTTAGCCGGGCTGCAATCGGATCTTGAAAGAGAGAAAACAAAACTGTTTGATGTGACCTTTTTGCGCAAACGAACGAGTGGACTGCAGCAAGGAGGCGGCGCGCTTTTGGGTGACATTTTGTCCCTTTCATTGCGGGGAGCTGCTGCCGCAGCCTGCACCAGTGTAAAGTGCCCTGCGGGCGGGCGGATTCATCATCCAGGTGCCCTGCAGGAATAAAACTGGAGCGGCTGTCTAAAACGGACAGCTTCAGTGTGTTTTATTGGATTCACCGGTGCGAACCTCTGTAGCCAAGCCACACAGCCACATCTCACCTTCCATTGCCCATATCTCAACCGCCCATCCCGCATCATTCATCGCCATTTCCATCTCGCATCATCGTCAAAAGTGCAGGAAAAAGAAGAAACACAAGCGCATAACTCGAAAGCTGCGCGACATCCGCGATACTACTGCAAAACACACAGCATCCGGTCCACGCCCAATCGCAGTCCTTGTTTCAGATCCCTAACCCCAGAAAGCTCAAGCTTGGGCTTTATTTCAACGTCAAGGCGGCCCAGCGACTCTGGCGGTTTCCGCAAGCATCCGACACACCAGACGAACACACGCATTGAATTCTTCTCCCCTCCCTCCACTACCCATCCCGGCCAAAGCTTTTCCCCCTCCGTCGCCACCCTTTTACCCTGGAACGATGTGTTTCGGCGGGAAGGCCGACAAGGATGACTCTCCTGCACCGAGACCCGCGCAACGACCATCTTCAGCGCAACAGCAACACCACCAACAACAGGACGTGAAGATGAGCGGTAACCAATACGCGGCACCTACCGGGCAGGGCTCTGGCGGCGAGACATATGCGCTGCCGAGCGGTCCGCCTCCGAGTCAGGCGTATGCTCCCCCGAGTGGCCCACACCCGGGCCGGACACAGGATGAATTCGCACCTCCGCCGGGACCTCCACCTGCTCAATCGTGCGCCGCGCCGCCCGGCCCTCCGCCCAGTCAACAATGTGCTCCGCCTGCTGGACCGCCGCCCTCTCACCAGCAGGGAGAATATGCACCGCCGCCGGGGCCCCCGCCTTCAAAGCAGGACTACACGGCGCCGCCCCCCGGTCCTCCTCCCTCCCAATCCAAGCCGAAGCACGATTGGGAGGAGGCAGTCCCTGACACGTCCCTGTTCCCTCCGCCGCCAGCCTTCTTCAGCGGCTGGGACCGGTCGCCTGCCAACAACTCAACCGAGGCGGAAGCCGAGGCCGGCGAGGAGTGGGTTCGCAAGTACCCTCTGATTCAGCCCATCGACCTCGACCAGGCGGCTCTCGCAGCCCTCCACACGAGCAGGATCTCATTGCTTCAACCCAGCGGCTTCAAAGGGACACTCAACCAAGTCGCCCCGGGTGTCTGGGAAGCCTCGACACCAAAGAACGCCCCAGACGGCACCATCATCGGCTACCCGCCCCTCTACTCCGTGAAGAATCATTCGCCCCTGGCCACCGGCCGCCCATTTACGGCGTACTACGAAGTTCAGATCCGCCAGAGCGGCAACAAGGAGGTCGACGTCGCCATCGGCTTCACGGCGCTGCCGTACCCCAATTTTAGACTGCCGGGATGGCATCGTGGCAGTCTTGCGATCCACGGTGACGATGGGCACAAGTACATCAACGACCGTTGGGGAGGCAAGTCGTTCACTGACCCCTTCCGGGTTGGCGAGAGGATCGGTGTCGGCATGACCTTCTCGGCCAAGGATGGCAGAGTCAATGTCGACGTGTTCCTGACCCGTGACGGCGCGCTGAGGGGCCAGTGGAACCTGCACGAGGAGATTGACGCGGAACAGGATGGGCCGGTTGAAGGGTTGGAGGGGTTTCATGACTTGAGCTGCGCAATCGGGTCTTTCAACAAGAATATTTACGAGATCATCTTTGACCCGAGTCGGTGGAAGTATCGGCCTTGAGGACAGATGGTTTCTTTGTATTCACAGGGTGAGGCAGAGCGTTGATTAGTATACAAACAGTTTTCACTTCATCCTAATCCGATTCTAAGTTTACACAATTTCTCCCTTCTCACAAAATGCTCATATCTTGGCCTTGACATCCGTCTCTTTCCACCACGGATACGCGCTCGGCGCATCCTTCTCCATAGTCGCCTCAAACTTTGGCGGCCTCTTCTGCATGAAGCTATCCATGCCCTCCTTACTATCCTTCCCGCCGAACAAGTCAAAGAAGATCTTGCTCTCCAACAAATGCGCCTCCTCCGGCGACGCCGGCGTCCGCAGTATCATGTCCCGCATCACCCTCACCGCGACCGTGCTCGTGTTCGCCGCCACGTCCTCCGCAATCGCCAGCGCCCTCGGCAGCACCTCCGCCGGCGCGACGATCTCGCTGAACAGGTTCCGCAGCAACGGGTCGGTCGCGGGGTAGACGGCGCCCGTGGTGACGAGGTGCAGCGCGGGGCCGGCGCCGATGAGGCGCGGGAGGTAGAAGGAGGAGCAGGCCTCCATGTTGAAGCCGCGGCGGGCGAAGACGAAGCCGATCTTGGCGTCGCGGGAGACGACGCGGACGGAGGCGGGCAGGGCCATGGTGATGCCGACGCCGACGGCGGAGCCGTTGAGGGCGGCGATGATGGGCTTGGAGCAGTTGTGCATGGCGAGGGCGACGAGGCCGCCGGTGTCGCGGTGGGCGTCGCGGGTGGAGGGCAGGCGGACGGGGGAGGTGAGGTCCATGCCGGCGCAGAAGGTCTTGTTGGAGGGGTCGGCGCCGGTGAGGACGATGGCTTTGACGCGCGGGTCGGCGGAGAGGAGGGTGTAGGCGCGGGCGAGGGAGTGCGCCATTTGGTCTGTGAAGGCGTTGCGGGCGGCGGGGCGGTTGAGGGTGAGGATGATCACGGGGGTGACAGTTGGGGAGGATGGCGGGTGGTGGGAGAGGAGGAGGTGAGGGAGGGAGAGGGTTGTGTAGCTTTCTGGGAGGGCGGTCATGGTGCTGGTTGTGTTTTCTGTTTGGATTTGTCTATTCTGTGATCAAGGAAATCAAATCGATTTTTTATATTGATATTTGGGATGTTGAAGCTGGTATATGAAGCTATGATGATGAACATGAGTTGGAGATGGAGGGGTCGTTTACAACCGAGGTCCGTTATGGCTGCGGGAGCTGTCAAACGTCACTATGAACTTTCTCGGAGTCCCAATTAAACGGCATGGTTAAGATGAGATACAGAGAATAATTGATACTTTCAAGTCGGAAATTATTGTAACAACACATATAAGAAGCCTCCTCTTCCAATACCATGACCCTTGGCTGTAATGTAAGTCCATGGAGCTACGTTCAAAGTGACATGTTCACCGAGCTCACCGGGAGCTCCGATAAGAATGCGATAAAGACAGTGCCAAGAGCCGTGCTGGAGACCCGCGACACAGTACGGCTGACTCAACCAACCACTTGCGCATCGAGAGCCTCCGTGCTCGACCAAAGGCGCATTCTCGACATGCCGTAGACATGCACCATCCTAAAGAGTATGGTCTATGATTGGGATGCCCACGAGAAGCTATGTTTCCAGCTATATATCAACGAGAAAAAGTCCCTCGAGGACATCATGGAATATCTCAAAATCCACCATGACTTTTCGCCCTGGTAAGCAACCGATTCCCCATTCTCTGGAGGGGGTTCCCCTTCGTCCTCGGTGGTCTCTCTCGCCGGCCGGACCATCCGATCCACCCAGCAAGCTTCACCTGCTTGCCGGGAAACGGGGGACAAAATCTGGGGTAGAAATTAGGGGACCTGGGCTGATGACGTATCGTGCAGTAAACGAGCTTTCCAGACGCAGTTTCGCAAATGGGACTTTCCTTCGAAGCAGAACCCCGCATACAAGAATGATCGGCTGGTCGCGCGGGTCAAGGAGTTGTGGGAGAGGAATCTGTCGCAGACGGAGATGCTGAGGGTGTTGAACGAGGAGGGGTTCGACATTAAGAAGAGAGAGCTGATCCGGGTGAGGACGAAGAATCGGTGGCTACTCAAGGCTGCGAATGGGGAGAGGGCGAAGGACGTGCCCGACCCTGAGCTGAGGCCGTCGCCCTTGCAAGATGGCTTCGGGGGACACAACGGTGGAGGTACACCTGACACCTTGACAGACCACGAGGTTCTGGGAGCGATGCCTGACGATGTCGGTACGGCTTGGGATCAGGATAATAACCGGAGGAAGAGGAGGCGGCTGAAGGCCTTTGAGAGTGCGTCACTGGATGCACCTATCGCTCCCCGGTTTCCGTCCGAGACTACTCTCGACGAGGCCAAAGTCATACTGGGCCTGGCGAACGAAGTCTACCGACAGCTCCGTACCACGTTTGCGCGCCTCTGCGAAGAGTCAGACATCGTCAAAAAGACCATCGCCGGCCCCGACAGGTGGGAGGCTGTTAAGGAACGGTTGATACAGGAGATGCCACAGCTCCAGGCGGCCATGTGGCAGTCCAGGGACAATCACGAGTCCAAGAAACTGGCCCTTGACGTTATTTGCACTGACATTACGAAGCGTGCGAGGACGCTGGAGAAACGGATCACTCTCGCGGAGGCCAAGAACATACTTGGCATCAATCCCGAGGAGGCGAGAGATGTGCGCACCGCTTTTGAGCAGATACTGAAGGATGATGGTCTCAGCTCCAAGTCTGACGCCGGGCCTGCTCAGTGGGACAGCCTGAAGGGCAAGTGGGTAGACGGATCGGACCTCATTCAGCGCATTCTCGCACTCGGGCCTGCGGATCCCTCTCATGCTGAGAAGGTGAGGGCTCTGGATGTGCTCGCTCGAGACGTCATGAAAAGGCTGCGAGACGACATGTCGAGAAAGGACAAGCCAAAGAAAGGGGGCTCCACCAAGACGGGACGGCCGAAGGTGTCTGGAAATCAGCACAATCAGCATGCGGAGGTGGCTCAGCCTCAGCTAGACATGGTGGAGGATATACAGGGTAACACCGACCTGGTTGGCCAATACGGAAACGCAGGACAAGTCTCGTCGATGGGCCTGGTCCCCAGTTCCGGAGACAACCAGGCACAGCTGCTCATGCCCGTGCCGATGCAAGCCCAAGCCGCCGACCCTCTCGGCCACTCTGCGGCACGCATCCTCTCCAATGCTCTCCTCGGCCAGCCGAACATGGCGCTCGACTCGCATCTCGGGTCTTCCCTCCTCCTCGCCGCCAACGCGCAGGCAGCCTTCGTGGACCAGCAGTACGCGCAGCACTTCACGGCGGCGCAGTCCGTCTTCCATGCCGCCCCGCCGCTGCCCACGACCGTGGCTATCTACATGCGCCTGCACCCGTCGTCGACGTTCGTGGTGAATGCGAACCTCTGGATCGCGACGCTGAGCTCGCACTCGATGCAGGAGCTGCGGCACGTGGCGGCGAGCAAGTTCCCCGGGGCCATTTGCCTGAGAGTTGAGGGGGTGCTGAAGGATGGCAAGGGCGGGGAGATGCCTTTACAGATTGACCAAGATCCGGAGCTGGCTGCGTACCTCGCACATTTGCAGGGTGCCACGCCTACTTTCAACGTGCAGCTCGTCCCCGGATGGAAGACTGGCTGAGGTGTTCCATGCGGGGAAAGTGCGGTACACGAATTATGACCGATGGATAGACTGTCAGGATATAATGAGCCGAATGAGGGTAGAAGATGCTCACACGAGCGAAATACCGATGCTGGTGCTGCTGCCGGAAGGGTGCGGGAGACACAGTATCGGGCTACGAGATATCTACGCTAATGCATGGCTGGAATCCAATTGTTTTTTATAAAGTCCAGTCCCTCATCCGATGAGTGCATGGTGGTGCCCCTCTCCAATGTTGCTCCAATGTTGCAGTAAGCCAAAGTTCACCTCGGGCTTGGTAATGTAGAGGGCGGGCGGAAGGGGGAAAAGGAAGCCACGGCAAAGTGTGGAGTTGCGCCGGTCGCGATGCACCGCGGGGTTCCACAGCTTCCCAGGTCGTTCACCCCGCTTGCCGGGCCGGCCAATCCTTATCCCCGACAGCTGTGGCAGCTGCAGGCTTTTGCATGGATTCTCTTTCGCCATTCGAGCTCCAAAAGATCTAAGACCCGGGGGGGTCCCGGGGGGGTTTTGCAGCTCCACCACAACCACCACCTACAACCTACACATCGTTACCTTTGTCACCCCCTCCTTCTCAACCCGGATAGATTTATAAAGTATACCGTCTTTTCCTCCAATTCGGAATTGTCCCAATTGCTTCCTAGAACCGCTCCTACGATAATATCATCCCTCGCGACCCGAGCCAGCGCAATGGCGCATCTTAGAGCCAGAGCTCCGCAAGCAGCTTTGCAGGGCCTCAGAGCCGTGAGCCCGGCCCCGCGCCGACGATGCGTCGCCCTCGCTGGCGCCGCGCGGCAAATGTCCAGCAAGCCCGAACGACCGACGTCGAACGAGGAGAAGCACGGCAGGTCCTTCCAGGGCCAGGTCGTCGGCTCCATCTCCCAGAGACTGGCGCGCGAGCGGGCGGAACGCGAGAGGTTCGCTGCTGAGCGGGAAAAGACCGGTCCCGGCAGAAACTGGGCGTACACCTTTGGTGAGCACAACAGCAGCCTTGCCCTGATACACAAGTGCCCTCGGTAGCTAACGTCTTGCGTGCTTTCTTTTGCAGTGCTCCTCACATCCGTCGGTGTTTCGTACTACCTCGGCACCCTCGTCCCCTCAAGTCCCAACGAAGAGTCGACGCTGCCGCTGCACAAGACGATCGCACCGCTACACAAACTTAACAAGGAGAACCTCGAGGCCGCGTGGGCGGATTTCGTCAACATCGTCGGCAAGGAGAACGTCAGTACTACCAGCACCGACCTCGACCACCACGCCAGCTCGGAATGGTCGTCGCACGCGGCGGGGCCCGACGAGAGGCCCTTCTGCGTCGTGTTCCCTAGCTCTACGGAGGAGGTCTCGCAGGTCATGCGCATCTGCCACCAGCGCCGCATTCCCGTCGTCGGCTACAGCGGCGGCACCAGCCTGGAGGGCCACTTCACGCCCACGCGCGGCGGCATCTCCATCGACTTTGGCCGCATGAACAAGGTCCTGGCGCTGCACCAGGAGGACCTCGACGTCGTCGTGCAGCCCGCCGTCGGCTGGGAGTCGCTTAACGATCAGCTCGCACAGTCGAACCTCTTCTTCCCGCCGGACCCGGGCCCGGGCGCCATGATCGGCGGCATGATCGGCACGGGGTGCAGCGGGACGAACGCCTACCGCTACGGCACCATGCGCGAGTGGGTTCTTAGTCTGACCGTCGTGCTCGCGGACGGCACCGTCATCAAGACGAGGCAGCGCCCGCGCAAGAGCTCCGCCGGCTACGACCTCACCAAGCTGTTCATCGGCTCCGAGGGCACGCTGGGGCTCGTCACCGAGGCGACGCTCAAGGTCACAACGAAGCCGGCGTCGACGTCCGTGGCGGTGACGTCGTTCCCGACGATCCGCGACGCCGCGAGCTGCGTGGCCAAGGTCGTCGCGGCAGGCATCCCCGTCGCGGCGGTGGAGATCCTGGACGACCTGCAGATGCAGTGCATCAACAAGGCGGGCATGACGAGCAAGGCGTGGACGGAGGCGCCGACGCTCTTCTTCAAGTTCGCGGGCACCGAGAGCGGCGTCAAGGAGCAGGTGGCCCTCGTCAAGCAGCTCGCCGCCAAGACTGGCAGCAAGACGTTCGACTTTGCCAAGAACGAGGAGGAACAGCACGAGCTCTGGAGCGCGAGGAAGGAGGCCCTGTGGAGCACCATGGCGGTCAAGCGCGAGGGCGATCACGTCTGGACTGGCGACGTCGCCGTGCCGATGAGCAGGCTGCCGGACATCATCGAGGAGACCAAGGAGGCGCTGGCCAAGACGGGGCTGTTCGGAACCATTGTCGGCCACGTAGGCGACGGCAACTTCCACACCATTCTGCTGTACAACGACCAGGAGCGCAAGCGGGCCGAGCACTTTGTGCACAACATGGTCAAGCGCGCTGTCGAGATGGAGGGTACTGTCACGGTATGTTATGCGGTTCACACTGGAGAGAAGTGGTCACTGACAGATTTTGCAGGGTGAGCACGGTGTTGGTCTCGTCAAGAGAGACTACCTCCCCCACGAGCTGGGCGAGACGACCGTCGACACCATGAGACAGGTAAGCCTAAGTTCCGCGGAACGGCGTGGTGGCCAGCTATCGATTGCTAACTGACTTTTCTCTACAGATCAAGAAGGCTCTCGACCCCCTCTGCCTCCTCAATTGCGATAAGATCGTCAGGGTGCAGCCTCCCAAGGCTGGCGAGGTGAGCGAGTGGTAAGACGGCGTCTAGATCCGGACTGGTGTATGAATAGGGCACGCGCGATTCGACCTAAAACTACTACTCTTGTACATATATATCTCTACCATTCCCCGCTGAGGTTGCGCCTGTTGGGCTGGAGTTCTGACGGCTATTGTCCTCACCATGGCGCATAAGGCGACTGAATTCACACGCTCATGACCTACGAAATGACTCATTTTAAAATTTGGAAACAAACATCACAAGACCAACCGTGAAAAAATGTGATCTTGACATCTGGGTGAAAACGGCAAAAAGTCGTCTTTGAAAGGGACGAGACTCGAACTCGCGCGGGTTGCCCCACCAGGAAACAGATGTTAAGCTGACCTTAACCTGGCGCCATAACCAACTCGGCCACCCTTCCTGAGATTGTTGAGGTTTTCCGCGCGGTGGAGGTGACATGAAGCCCTCGCCAACCAGGGCTTGGTCCTGGGGATCCACACCCTGGCGACCGGAGAGGGGCCGGCCGCAACGGTCGGTCCGGCTGCGTCATCCCTGCTTCTATGTGCCGAAGACATTGTTGTTGTATAAATATGAGGTTGTATTCTGTCTCCGAGTGAATCTGTAACAATTGTCTAGCTTCGGGTTGTTTTGCAATATGCGGCTTTGAGCACTTTGGCCGTCTCCGAACTGAGATCCACCGCCGAGTTCAGTGTGATTTATACCTTGATTCGTTATGATTTGGTGTCTGTCATTCTTGCCCGTGGTATATACTGGTATATTCATGAGAGAGGTCTGTGAATTTGTGTTGGTCGAAGGGTTTCTCTGCCGAAAGCACCACATCTCGGTTCTTCAGACATCAAGCTGACGCAGGGGGGCCATTGCGACGAGCGACGACTTCATCCACGAGAGACGACTAAGTTATTTGGTGCTGTGCAGTACTATTCAGCTTGATTGGCTATCTTATACAGTAGCGCTGATATTTGGTGAGGGGTTAGATTTGAATGATGGACTGAACGTAGCTCTCGGAGCTAAACGTCGATGTCATTTGGGTGCCCGAAAGTTATTTGGGAGAGGCACATAGCGCAAGACAAACGAAGCAGTCGCCTCGGAATGATGAACAGGTATGAGAATCATGCCGTACCTAACGTGGCCAGTAGCGCCAGTCTGTTTTGTTAGTGTTAGTGTATTCCGTTCGAGGACTTCAATGAGACCGTGAAGACTCAATTTACTGGGCCACCTGTAACTGAGCAGCTCAGTCCATAACTCCTTTCATCCCTGGTATCATGATGTATATAGAGAACAATAAGCTTGATGCGTGTAACCCATTGTTTGCGGATTCTGACTTGGCGGGTTCAATTCGCCTTTTAATAAGTCCCTTGGTCTCTCCGTTCTTCTCCTAAACCTGCATCTGCCAGGAAGCAGTCTGGTTTCCCATTTGGTACTATATTTCAAAGTGTGTAACTCGTCTGTCAATCGCTCCTCAGATTATCTAAAGGGCTTATAAAATCCCAAGATGCTCGCGATAGGCTTGGTTCTAATGCCAAATGCCATGCGACGATCTCTGATTTGATAACATCTACACGGATGCTCATAGCACGACGAGAGTCATGTGCGAGGTCTGAGCAGGTCCCATACTTGATACTTGTTTACCGGGACAACATTTGATTAACGTCCGTCAAGGCTGTTGATGTTGAGTTCTAGTGCCTGAGTATTTTGTCACAAATAAGCCTATTCAATACCAAGATATTCTGGCCGGCCTGAGGAAAGGAAGCGATAGATCTTGCTCTTAATTGTAGAGTGATGAAAGGGAGGATCAAGGTGCTGTAATTCTTCGATCTCGTGCCGGTGATAAGGTCGATATGCTCCCTCTATAAATCACAGTGCCATCGTTTCCTTTCTTCGAATTCTCCCCAGCAATGACGGGGTGCTTAGAATGTTATTAGTAGAGAGGCCAATGGAAGTTGCTAGTAACACGATGGGCCATCAGCGAAAAGAAGGTATGGAGACTACAAGTGGTAACTTGTGAAGCCTCACTCAGCTCTCTGGCATTGCCGATGTATTCGTTGACTCGTACACCCAAGAGCCACTTGGTTCGTTGTTCCCAATAGATCACGTCCACTTGAGAGTCCTGACCCTGTAGTGCAAGGTAGTGACTCGGAGCACAGTCGGGATCGATGAAGATGACGACCAGTATCTGGACAGGGCGTCCAGAGATCTGCACCTCTTGCGTACTTATAAATGGGAGTTATATCCTGTAAAGTGGCTCAAGTCTCTTCCAGCGACATTTTAAGAGCGGAGGACATCGGCCCAACAAAGAGTCACAAGTTGGTAATCAAAGAGCGTGGAGCCATGACACCTGGAAAAGATCCTCCCTCTATGCGCATGCACGGAAATGGTGATGGTAACGACAGACCGTCACGCGCAGGTTTGGTTTCAACTAACAAGAAGATGCTGGGGTCATCTCGTTCTGAGAGGTATTAAAGCAGCTAGCATACGCCCCGAATATCTGGGTTGTTCTCCTCTTTCGAAGCAAATATTGGGATCAGATGTGGATGACAAATGAATGCGCGCGTTCATAACGTTCATCTCCAGAAAATACTGGTCTAAAGAGTTTTTCAATGCAATCGAGGTGTCAATCTGGCTGTTCGAAAGCATCGGGCTGTACCATTACAGCAGTTGCTGTTCAGTATAAACAGCACAAGACGCCAGACAACAACGACAGACAGGGAAAGACTCTAGACAAGTTCGATCATTAACGAGCAGCTGCCACAGATGTCCCATGTGCTGAGTGATCAACTTGTGAGGCGTACACCCAGAAACGAAAGTGACAAAGATCAGAGAGTCCTGGCTATTGGCCGGTCGCTATTTCACCAAGACCTCTCATACTTTATGTATTATATAGACTTCAGAAGCCAGCTTAACATCATAGCAGCCACACTTGCAGATGACCTACCTCTTGCTGGTTTTCCTACCGCCACATTCACGCCGTCTTCCATAGCTGCTTCTTGAAGTGATTGATATCATTTGACGCAGACACATAAATCCGCTACTATACATCCAGGGTACTTCATCATCCTGAACACTTCATCCCTCTTCGGGGCATCATTGAGAGCTTGTTTCCGCGCGGGTACCATAGACCTAAGCCGCGTAGACGACAAAATGAAAAGTTATGTTTAGACGGTAAGGAAAGCCATAAAAAACCACCGCCCTCCCTCTGCTCCACCACCACATATGAAGATGTGAAGACATACCGTCTCACGCTCAACCGTACTGCTGCCTCAAAGGCAACTTCCGATCCAGCGTGTGAAACGCCATCGTCCGCGGCGTATACGGCACCGTCCTCGGCGTCGCCGGGCCCTTCTGCATGTCCCTCATCTCCCACTCCCGCGCCTCCTTCGGGTCCACCGGCGAGCTGCCGTCGCTCCCCGCAGCCTCCTCGTCCTCGGCGCCCTCCTTGTCGAACTTGTTCGGCAGGCACACGTACACCGCAATCCCCAGACTGCACAGGAACAGGAACAGCATGTACACCGTCACGGCGAAGGTGCCCTTGGCGAGCATGCACGACTTCTCGGCCCTGTAGGGCGCCGCGTACGAGCAAGACTTTGAAATGTACCACGCCACGTTGGAGGGGTACCGCGAGTCCGCGTGGTCCGGGCCCATCTGCCCGTAGACGGAGACGGTGTACATGGCGACCATGGCGACGTTGATGCCGACGGCGAGGAGGGGGAACCAGAACTTCATGATGAAGAAGACGAGCTTGGTGAGGAGGAGGAAGAGGGTGATGACGGAGAGGGCGACGTTGAAGTCGGTCAGTCTGTTCATTTGAGTGTCAGCTTCCTTCAATTTCCAAATCTCTTTCAAACTCGTCCACAAGAACAAAACTTACGTCCTCGTCCATACAAAGGGAACCGTCGGCAGGGACTCATAGTTGGCGTAGGCGTAGAGCACCATGTTCGGGCTCGAGTTGAAGCCGTAGGCGTGTCCAATCTCCCACATCTTTGTGCGGTAGAGGTCCGGCTGGGCGATGCCGAAGAGGACGAGCAGCGGCACGAGGCCGGCCAGCTCGAGCGGGAAGATGGCCCACATCCATGGCCTGAGAAGCCATTTCCTGTGCAGGATCTTGTATGCCATCTTGGCGAGGCCGTGGATTTGGTATGATGATTAAAGCGGTTCGCGATATGCCCGCGCGCGCTCGCGCCCGTTCGAGGTTCGAGGTGGGCGGGTTGCGTTATTGTACTGCCCCCGCGGGTGTGGCAAACGTCTTGTCCTACTCTCTCCTCACTATTCCTCCGGCCTGGTTGGAAAGCTTGGGGGTGTTGGTCGACTATTCTTATCCCGCTGAAGGCGCAGTCGTCGCCGAGGCAAACAATGGGAGGGATTTCACATTGGTCAGAGTACCAGCACTCGACCTCAGCTGTTAAACGAAAATCAGCACTATTCCGCCGTTCCCCTCGTTATCGTTATTGTCGTCGTCGTCGGTTCCGCTCGCGAATCTTCAAAGAGGGGAAAGGAGAAGAGAGGTTGCAAAGCGACCGCCGAGCCCGGTTGGGGCAGGGTGGCAGTTTAATGGCCATCTCTTGCAGATTCACGCCTTCACCCGGGCCTTGCTTGCCCACACACACATTCGCTCTCTTCGCCATTCACCATTCACCGGTTCACAGAGAGGGGGGCCGCTGGCAAGCAGGTCGGTGGCCCGGGTCAGCTTAGGGTCGCGGCATTGGACGGCTGCTGCATGTGCCGTGGTCGACAATCACAGCGGCGGTGCCCAATGAGGAGCGGAGGCGGGCAGAGGTGCTAAGCGCCGGGCTGGGGAGGGGCCGTTCGATTGGCCGGCCCCTGGGCGAGTTAGCCAATGGGCACGGCGATACGCGACGTTGCGCACAATACCCGCCCGTCTTTTTTTCGACCGGGGGCAGGGTGAGGACGGGACAAGGGTCTTGGATGGCTGGGGGCCGTTTTTCCCGGTCACTCAATCACTGTCCGTTGGGGGGAGCTGTGGACTGAGAGAGGAGGGCAGATCAGCCTTTTCGTGCGATGCT